GTTGTGATCTCAGTGGTTGGTGGTGACATCATTGCTTGGTGATGATGCGATTAGCCATGACATCATTGTTTAATGCTGATGTCACTCTTTGGCAATCACATCATTGGTCAGCGATGATGTAATTGGCAATGACATCATTGTTTCATGATGATGTCATTATTTGGCAATCACATCGTTGGTTGGTGATGATGCAGTCACCAATGACATCATTGTTTCGCGATGATGTCACTGTTTGGCAATGACATCGTTGTTGGTGATGATGTCACTACTCGGTGGTGACACCGGGGCCACCCCCCTGTGTCCCCTCCCACCCAGGACATGGAGATCAGCGTCACCGAGCTCCAGACCATCCTCAACCGCATCATCGGCAAACGTGAGCGGGGATTTCGGGCCTCCCACCCCAATTAACACCCCAGCTCGTTAGCACCCCAAAATGTCCCAATTAACGCCCCCAAATGTCCCAATTAACACCCAAAATGTCCCAATAACACCCAAAATGTCCCAATTAACACCCAAAATGACCCAATTAACGCCCCAAAATGTCCCAATTAACACCCAAAATGTCCAAATTAACGCTCGAAAATGTCCCAATTAACACCCAAAATGTTTTAAATCCCACACAGACAAAGATCTGCGGACCAAGGGCTTCAGCACCGAGTCCTGCCGGAGCATGGTCAACCTCATGGACGTATCCTGGGGCTGTGGGATGGGATTTGGGGTGAATTTTTGGGACCCCCTGGATCTCCCCTTTTCTTTAACCCCATCCCCAGAAAGACGGGAACGGGAAATTGGGACTGGTGGAGTTCAACGTCCTCTGGAACCGGATCCGCAATTACCTGGTGGGTCTGGGGGGGATTGGGGTCCCGCTTGCCTTTTTGGGGTTTGGGGTGGAATTTTTCTCCTCATCCCCCCTTTTATCCCCCTTTTTTCGGGGGCATTGGGGGGCAATGAGGGGGGTTGGGGTATGGGGTGAAGATTTTGGGGTTTTTCTTTGTGGGTGACCTCCCT